CCCCAAAACCCCAAAACCCCAAAACCCCAAAACCCCTCTGTGTTTAGTCAATATAGACAAAAACTATATAAATGCTAGCATTGCCCTTGTCTTGAGAATATTAACACAATTACTCTTTAGCAAAGGCATGAAGGTTTGATAAGTATTATCTATTTATCACTATCATCTTGACTGTCATCCATGTCATCATCTTCATCACTAAGCTCCTTGTCTGAATTAACTCCAGGGGTGTCGCTCAGCTGACTGGCAGGATCAGAACTATTGTCGCCGTCGCTGTCTTCAACTTTAGCTTCTTCTTCAGGTTCTTGATCAGCTTCATCGTTAGCTCCGACTTTGTCTAAGCTACCATATTTCTTGACATAGCTTCTAATCTATGAGATAAGCAACTTGAATGTACCTTTGCTTCATACTTGTCTTTATCAGTCATCATCAAATTAGCTGCATCCCCATTCAAAGGATCTGTAGGATTTGGATAGAGTAGCAGTTGTGGAAGGAACACCTCAAATACGTTCCTGAGTTCATACATCGGCGACCATGTCTGGTTGATTACATCAAGGCAAACGCTTCCTGACCTGAACAAAAAGTTACAACTTCTGTACTTTTTCTGATAGAACAATCTCTCAGAAATACTGAACTTTACTTACGCTTCATCAATATTTGGATGGAAAATCTTGTTCAAAAATCCAATGGAAGGAGATTTATAAGGGTACTGCTCTGGTAGAGTCACTAGAAGCTTCCATTTTCCCTATATCAATGATAAGCAACCGAAATTTTTTGTCATATTGAGCCAGTAAACTCTTTGGCCCAAAACAAGCTATATATCTCCCAAAATAGCTCTAAAATCAAGCTTATACTATTCTAAAAATTAGAAAAAGTTTCAAAATCTCCTGGGCTATCAAAGTCAAGAAGATTTCTAGAACTCATTGTGCTACTTCGGTCACTAAAATAGCTCTGAAAGTTATGCCAAACTTACTCCTTCATAAGGTGAATCCTGAGGTCCATCAAGGATTATGGTGAACTCAGACATATTATCAGCTTTGATCTCTATCTCATAGTCAAGGGAGACTAGCTTGCCCACATCCTTCACCAGTCTCTTATTGGTCTTGTCCATTTTTTAATTATAAAATTTAGCACCAACATTATTAAGCAGGCAGGGGTTTTGGGGTTTTGGGGTTTTGGGGTTTTGGGGTTTTGGGG